ATGGATGTTTGTCCGTGTCGGAATAAGTAGAATCGACATTGTTTGTCATGCAAGAATTTATTGCTCCTGAAAGCCTACTGAAAATGTTTTTCTTGTTGGGAATTTTTTTTCATTACAGCTGTGAGGATGGTGTGAACAGAACAGGAACATGATAGTTTGTTGGATGGCCGATAACTACAATTGTTTTGTGTCGGCAGTTTGAGAACGAGTTTGACAAATCACCTTGTTTGTTTGTGATTGTGGCATTATTATTTTCTGTTCCATTTGTCTCTTTTCTGCCTGAGGAAGATGGAGATGGTAAGGATTCTGAGAGGAAAACGCAATTTGGCTTTTGTTTGTTTTCACAATTAACTGTAATTGTGCTCAGGGCAAGTGGTAGTCTTCAGGGCAAGTGGTAGTCTTCAGGGCAAGTGGTAGTCTTCAGGGCAAGCGCTGGCTCATCATGGCGTAGATCCGGGTTCGATTCCCCACATAGGTGCAATGTGTCTAGTTCCTTTCTGGTGTCCCCTCTGTGATATTGCTGGAATATTGCTAGAAGTGGCGTAAATAGAGATGTCACCCTCGTGTCTACTGATATCAGTTATATCAACACGAGTTGATAAAGTTACAAATATCCGAGGCTTGCCAAGGATATTTTTACCTTTATCAACGAGTGTTGATATAATTGATATCAGTAGACACGAGGGTGAGATTCTATTTATCTTTAAAAATCATTCTTCATTTGTTTTCAGTGAAAATGTACATCTCTCAACACTGTACTTCCATTAGACTTGCAGTGCAGCGATGTCATAGCATTGTGATGTCATCAAGTTGATGACATCATAGCATTGTCAGGGCATTGTACAAAATCTAGTCAATATGATATCTCCTAGGAGATATCATATGGTCTCACACAAGCGATATCTCCTGTGGAACATAGTTTTGGATGATAAAACCATACTCACTCACTCAGCAGGTCAATAAGTAGTCTCAACAAGTCAAATACCAGTTTACTTACTTTAGCTTTGTTTTGTAGATCATTCTAATAGTTAATTTTATAGGGACAGATGCAATGTTGAAGCAATTGGCAGCAAGATGGAGCAACACCTGTTTCACATAGGAAATTAAGTTTAAATGTTTTAAGCAGTACTTGCTGTCTGTGTACAGGAGTTTGAATCAAATAGATTTTAAGACAGGCTCTACACTTGATAATAAGTCAAGTTCGTTGTGAAGTATTCTTTTTAAAATGTGTTTGAAATTGTTGCTTGCTTCTCATCTTATTTTAATGTTTTCAATTCTCTTTTGTTTTAGGAAATGTGACATGGCTGATGTTCAAAGAATTTTTGTTTCCTTTTTGTGAATGTCAGATATGAAATATCTTCAGAAATTGCTTGATGCTTTGGATCACATCAAAATGAGATCGCATTTATATTTGTTTTTCTTCTGATGTTTTGTTTCATTGTGACTTGACAATTTGATTGAAGCTATATTTAGATGTGATGAGTTAGACATCAATGGTAAATTCAATATGAGGCTAAATTAAATGGGCATTCATAAAATTTTATTTTATTTTGACATTTTAAATGTCAGCTACATTTTGTCTTCAGATCAATTTCACAGATTTGAATAAAGCATTTGCATTGAAGAAATAAAATCCTCACTGTGAAATGCCATAACTGAATTTATCCCAAATTGACTATCAAGCATGCATATTAACCCTATCAGTGCCAGTCAGAACTGTCATGTACACTGTTAGTTAAGTTGTATGTACAACACAATGCCAACATGGCATGTATTGGGTTAAATGTGTCAGTGAAGTTTCGGCTGTTTATCTATTCATTGAGTTGTGTAATCAGATTATAGGATTAAGTCCACACTATCTAATCTCCTTCTGACTGACCTCTGCTACAACAACTGGACATTGGTCAACCTGTCTGTGCTGTGGTCAATTAGTATCCATGCTGGCTTGGCATGCTGACCAATATGGCAAACAAACCAGGAAATTGGAGAATTACAGTTTAAAAGCCTCGTCCCGGTGGTGGTAAATTGTCAGGAACTTTTACATCTGATCAACATGGGTAAATACTTAGGTTTCATTAATGACCTATTTAGCACTGTATTTGGTTACTGCTGCTTTTACTAATGCTGAGGATATAATCCGAGGGGGGTCGGAGCTTATAAGGAAAGAACTCCCTAGGGGGGATGTATGTTAAGAGAAAAGTAGCATCAAGGGACCTCACTCAAGGGGTTTATGTGACCTTAGGGGGTATTTAGGAAGTCTTTGAAGGGGGGATTAACAACTGACCTGCGGTCAGATGTTAGAGTAGCGGGCTGACCAATGTTCAGGGTAGTCATGTGGTGGAAGGAGGTGAAGCAGGTTACACCTGAGACAGGTTAATTGGACAGGTGTGAGATAATTACAGGTGAAAGTGTCACAGTCTTTAATTAGTGGTCTTGGTAATTGGTCTAAATTGTAAATGGTTCGAGGCAGAAGTAATTGTGTAATTCCAGTTGATTTGTTTCATTGTGGAGACAAATGCACTTGTGAACTGAATGTGGATGTGTTAGAAGGAAAGTAGCATTGAGGTGTTGTGATAATTGGGAAGTTTGCTACTTCTCAAGACCTGCTGTTGACTGTCAGGGAAATTGCGAGTGTTGGTAATATTGTATCTGTTTCTTGTAATGTGGTTAAAATTTTGGGCAGCTCAGCATTTTTAATTTTGGACAGGTTCAGGGTGTTTCCTGTCACAGAAAGTAGAACTTGAGTAGAAACTGTTCATGTTCCATGTGTCATAATATTTACCCGAAGACTTATCATGCCTCGGTGTGTGAGCCATGCTGGTTATACAGTATATCCTGCGGTACTTGTCCACTCAAGTAGCACGTGATAATTGGTCACATGTTACGGAAAAACTGGCCATCTTGTTGTAGCCAACATGTCTGTACCAGTGTACTGGCTTCTTCTTTCAACCAGTCAACCAACGGCTTCAACCAGTCACTACCATTTCTCACAGTCTTCCGGATTTACTGCAGTGTTCGTTATGACTTTAACTTAACCTAATTGTGCTCTTGGGAACCGTAATCAACTGGAAATGTTTTTTCATGAAGTGAAATATGATATCTCCCCGAAGGGATGTCATTCTTCATTTGTCATGGTGTAAACTTCTGATCTTTACAGAAATCTGTTTCCATTTCATGAAAGGAATTTCGACTTCAAATGTTTTCATTAGCACAGTCATTGAATTTTGTCATTGTCTCTGATGTACATGAATGTTTTGTGTTGAAAGTGATGGAGTACTGAAATCTAGTTCTGCTGATTTTGTGAAAAGACAAGGATTTTCTAATTACACTGAAATTTTTGGGTAACCCTGGCAACCAAATTCTGATATTTTCTCTCAGCCAGGTAATTAGATAAGATTTTTTTCAAATGATGCTTCTAAGATTTTGTCTATCAATCAAAATGAGATTTGGGCTGTTTTGAGTGATAGAGATGTGTGCATCTAATAGAGGGATGGCTGTACTTGTGAGTGTTTACCAGATTTAGATAAGAGACATATGTTTTTGTAAGTGGGCTTTGCAGGATTTGAAGTGTGTTGTGTTGGGACTGGCACCACAGCGGCTTGACATGAGATTCTCGACAAGTGCTTTTCTCGCAAATACACAAATTACTCATCAGAATGTGTTTTTATTCATGTGCTCATGTAGAACGCAGAAAATAAAATCTGTTTGAAGAGCTTCAAAGGGAGGCAAGTTGGAAGTGCCCTTGCTGGGAAAATGACGGCAATAATTGCCGCCAAGTCTATGTTAAGTGGCAACCACTTGGAACACAGTAATGGTATAACTGCCTTCTTTCTGCTTTCAGATTATGTGACATGCTCGCTGTTGCTACTTTGAAATACGTGTGAGGAAACAGAAAAGGCGAGAGAGAAGACACCAAAAATGGAGAATTGATGGTACAAAGTATTAATTCGGAACACATGTGCAGAGGATGAGAAAGAAGCAAGATGTCAACTAAGATGGGTGTTAAGATTGCCGCGATGTCCTTGGTTCTGGGACTCTGCGGCCATCTTGTTTGTGGGATGTATTTGGGCCGTCATCTAACACACATGGCTATTGACAATGAGACAGGTGTTGTTTACGTGGGTGGGGTCAATCGTATTTATCAATTGGACTCTGAGTTGACGTTGATGGTTGAAGCCGAAACTGGTCCGAGGAATGACAGTCCCAACTGTGCTCCTCCTCCCGATTCCTGCTCCTATGAAAAACATGAAACTTCCAACTTCAACAAGATATTGCTGATTGATCGGAACAGGAATAAGCTTGTCACTTGCGGCAGTGTGTACCAAGGGGCATGCGAAACGAGGAATTTAATTAATGTATCAAAAGTTAAGGAATTTTATGATGGCGACCAAGTCACTGATTATGCTGTAGCAGCCAATGAACCCAATGCGTCGACAGTCGCCTTTGTCGCCCCAGGCCCACCACCAACCAATCACGATGTTCTCTATGTAGGGACCACCTTTACAGGACGAACGCGTGAAGATCGTATCTACAGAGACGAATTGCCCGCAATTAGCAGTCGTAGTTTACGGAAGGACAAGTTCTCCCTAGCTGCAGTAACTAATGCTTTACAAGGTCGATCGTCATCAATTTATCTGAAAAGAGAAATCAGTCCTGTGTATCGAATCAAATATGTCTCCGGTTTCAGTTCAGGGAACTTCAGTTATTTTCTAACTGTTCAGCGGGATTCTCTTGATGATAACAGGATGACCAAAAATGTATCCAAAATTATTCAGCTGTGTCAGAAAGATCCAAATTTCTTCTCCTATGCTGATGTACCATTGAAATGTGAGCATAATGGTGTGGATTATAATGAGATTCACACATCTACTGTGATAAAACCTGCATCTGAACTACGTGATTCTCTCTACCTGGGTGAAGACGACGAGATTCTCATCGGCCTCTTCTCCCGCTACAACGATGACATGGACCGAACCGACGCCGCTATCTGTGTGTATCCCATGAAGGATGTGCGTGCTAAAATTCTGGAAAATATTAAATTGTGTCACCAAGGCAACACATCAGTGAGCGGGGGTGGATACCTAAGAGTTGGTCCCCCGTGGCAACTGCAACCAACAGGTAAGAAAAGCGTCATTTTTTTCCACCATTGCCATGCAACACTGTTGCACCTTACACAAACATTGACTGTCTGTCAAACTTTACAAATAGGTAAAACATGTACAACCCAGCAATATTGTCTGTAAAACTCATGTTGTGGGGGATAATCTTCCAACAGAAATAGTCACAACAAAAATATCCCCCAAACTATTCATGTTAACTAACTATTTTTGTTCAGTATATGAATTACCAGAAACCAAAACAATACCTTGAAAGTACAAATGTCGACCATGAATGAACAGAATATCCCCCTAAATGTTCACAATCCCTGACTTCCTTAGTTCTGTACATAAATTACCTGAAGTCTAAATAAACTATGTTGTAGCATCAATGAACAGAATGTGCCCCCACATATTCTCAATCCCCGACTAGTTTTGTTCAGTATTTGAATAGCCCAGAGGCATGAAAACCCTTCTAAATACAATGGTGAAGCATTAATGAACAGTCATATATTTCGCAGACATTAACTTGAGCAGTGAATTAAAGTCCCAGGAGGGGAATCATTATATTTGTTTGATTTCTTTTTCTCATTTATAACTCCATTATGGAAGCAACAGGGAAGTGATAAAAACCAAGACATTGTGAATTGTACAGTAATGAAAACCACACACAGGTAACAGCTGGTTTCAGGAAAGTAGTACCTTGATTGTGTGCTGGTTATTATTGTGGATGTAAATGAGCAAGCTGATGAAACAAATCAAAGGAATAGGGATGTTACTCTGTGAGGAGGAAACGTCCACGTGAAATAGACGAAATCAATACTTGAAACAGAGTGGCGAGTAGATGTCTGATGTTGTTGCTGTCGCTGCAGCAGGTGGGGACATAATGGACGTGCTTCGTCACCTGGCTGTTGTTTGAAGGAAGGAGGGGATAAATTGTTCAAATGGGAAAATAATCTATTGGAATGAAAGTTTAGAAACTATTTGATATGTTTTGTGGTGTTTTAATATTGACTGGATTTTACTAAATGTAAAATATTGGTATCTTTCGTGTTAAAAATTCGAATTGATGGAAATAATTCCATTAGAACAAAAAAGTATTAGTATTGGGTTGACTGAATAAAAATTCATAAAAAATAATTGAAGCATGTTTGTATGTTTTTGGAATCGCAGATACAATCAATATTTAGCACCAAGATTCAATTTATATAATTTAACATTAATGCCAGAGAAAACCCAGTCTAAGGATATAGCATTGAAAATGGTTTGAGTGGATTACTGAAATTTGATAATGACACCAGGTGTTCACGTGGAGGGTACTTCACCTCTATAAACATAAGGCATCATGCATGCTTCAGACTTCATCTGTTTTGTTTAGGTACAGTGGTCACTCTGGGACCCAAATGTTCTTCCTGTTGCCCCCAAATTATTACTGAGAGTCCCCACAAATACACCAAGATAGATCCCTGGTAGTTATTTCAGTAACTTAATGAATTTAGTTGATGGGGTAGCCCAGTGGTTAAAGCGTTAGCTCATCACGACGAAGATCCGTGTTCTCCACATAGGTACAATATGTGAAACCCATTTCTGGTGTCCCTCCTGTGATATTGCTAGAATATTGTTAAAAGCGGCGTAAAACTCAACTCACTCACTCAGCTTACTGAATTTGTTTGCCCTTTTGTATTAATCATTGAATTGATTGCTTGAAATTATTCGTGATTTCATCTATTTCTTGTATTAATTAAATATTACTGTGAAATAAATCATTGAAATATGTAATTAATGTTGCATGCAGCTTCAGAACAATGCACAGAGCAGTTAATTTGGCAGTGGGTGGCTGTGTGGTTAAAAGCGCTGTATTGTCTTGCCTATGACCCGAGTTCAGTTCTCCATGTGGGTGGTGTATTTAAAGCAGTTATCTCCTGTGGTTATATGGCTTGAACAGTGGTACAATCAATAAAACAATGCACGCTTGTTCATCTGTTACAGCACCTGAACATTTAACTAGCTGCACGTTGTATGGTAATTAATATCATATAATAATGGCCACAGTCCATTGTCTTCATAATACGGTGAAACTGGAACATTAATGATGATGAGTGTGATGTATATCATGTGATGGTAAGGATGATGGGTCTCTAAGTATTACTTCTAGAGCGTGGGGGGCGGTGGGACAGTGGGGCAGCCTAGTGGTTAAAGCGTTGGCTCGTCACACCGAAGACCCGGGTTCGAATCCCCACATGGGTACAATGTGTGAAGCCCATTTCAGGTGTCCCCTGCCGTGATGTTGCTGAAATATTGCTAAAAGCGGCGTAAAAACTAAACTCAGTCAGTCAGTCTAGAGCTTGGGTGGTTTGTCCTATAAGGTGCTACAAATTAATTCACAGAGTTGTGTCCCTTGGAATGCGAGGCACCTGTGGTCATGGGTTCTAATAGCAAGGTTCTCCATGATTGTGTGTAGGTTTGTCAGCATATATTAATGATTAATGGTTTCAGGGAAGTAGTATACATCAAGGGCCTACATTATTTAGAATGTCCTCCAACATAAGGCGGAAACACTCACTCACTCTTTGACACTCGTGCAGGGATGGCAATTTTCCGCGTATTTTATTTCAAATTGTTCAATTTTGAATCGTCTAAATCCATTGTGAAACCCCCATTCAATGACACAATATTAAGTTTTCCGCTGAAAATAGATTTTCCTGTTGCCATCCCTGCATATGGGGCGGTGGGGTAGCCTAGTGGTTAAAGCGTTGGCTCGTCACGCCGAAGACCCAGGTTCGAATCCCCACATGGGTACAATGTGTGAAGCCCATTTCTGGTGTCCCCTGCCGTGATGTTGCTGGAATATTGCTAAAAGTGGCGTAAAACCAAACTCAGTCAGTCATGCAGTCATGGCTGGGCTTGTCCAAGTTAACGTAGTCATGACTAGATAATCGTATCATTAAACTTGATTGAAACAAAATGAATATGATCCTATAATGTGTCATACTAGATTGGAAATGTCAAGATTTGGTTATGTACTGGAGAGTAGATGCAGAATCAAACTCAGCCTTCCAGCTGGGGCGGATGGGTAGCCTAATTGATTAAACCATTTGCTTGTTCCGCTGAAGACCCAGGTTTGGTTCTCCACATGGGTACAGTGTGTGAAACCCATTTTGGGTGTTCCCTGCTGTGATATTGCTTGAATATTGCTAAAAGTAGCATAACATTCACTACAATAACAAATATAGCAGTAGCACACTAACCACTGGGCTACCGCCAGAAAACCCAAGTAAAACATTATAATGGAAGTAATCCCCAGAATGAGATAATGGTATTGGTAGTTTTATGGCATCAACATGAAGACTTAAACGTCTCTCTCAAACCACCAGAGACATTAGAATACGGAACCAGATAAAGGGTTTTGTCGGCCGTTCCTGTCAACTTCCAGTTGACGGCAGTACTAGTAACGAGACTGTTTGCACATAGATCAGTGTACAGTATTGAATTAGGGTTTGATTCCTGGCTGACTAACAAGCCATTATCCGCGACGTGCCTTGAAGGGGAGATTCTCCAACCTCGAATCATTATCCTCGTCCATGGGAGTCCACGGGAGGCTGGATCGGAACCCGAGGCACGGCCAGTATGTGCCAGAGCACTTACGTCTGGGACAGCCCGACATTTAATCAGGGCGATATCTTCGTTAGCCATACTTAATTTGGCGGCTTGAACAAGGACTTGAGACAATTTCCTGCTCATTAGACATAGATATGAAATTGTATATTGGAAATATACTGGAGCAGACGTACGCGAGATTGAATGTCGAGGCAGAATATCATGTAGGTATCATCCTCGAGGGTTACTCTAGTACAGTGTGTTAAATGTCAGAGGATGTTTAATTCAAAATGTATAAAAACAGGTATTAACCTACATTAATACTCATTTCAGTCATGACTCTTTGTTGTACTGTCTGACATTTCAAAGATATTTATTTACAAAACTGCCATGCTCAGCATTTTGACAAGACATTCGGATCAAGGAGTACATTGTACCCTGGTATGAGAATTTCCAAAATGGCTAGATTTTTCAAATTCTGTCTTCTAAAAGTGTGCAGATGTCACGAATGTTTATATTTATTGACAGTTGAAATCCCCAAACTTACACCATCCTTTGAAAATACAACATCTTCACTGGAATGATCTATAATCCATAGTCAGGGCTTGTCTAGTTCACATTCCAGCCCTTCTCAAGGATCCAGTCATCAATATGAGTCCAGACGAAGTATTTCAGCCTGGGAAAGATTTCCTTGTTTTGACACGACTTGAATTTTACCCTTTGTGGTGTTTGGCTAAGATCCTTGATGATACAGTAAGACTGTACCCTAGCAAAGTGGCATCACATAATATCACTAAAAGCCATTTGACTACAATGCTGCCCAGAAGCTCACCAATTCCTATTCTGTTCCAACAGAACTTATCTTATTTCCAACATCGAGCTTGTCTTTCCTTGTGCATCAATTTGGTTCATGCTGGCTTTTTGTGGTGTTAAAAGGCTAGGAGGATCATGCACTACTGGATTAAGTCATTTTTATTAAGTAGACAGATATTTTCATTTTCAGAGAAATTAGATTTCTCATAGAAATGCCAAACGGAACTGTGTAAGAAGATGCTAAATTTTTTGGCCAGCCATTATCGTAATGTAATGATGGCCGTAGGTTGCCAGAGCAATCTTGTTTTCTATTAACAAAGAGGTGGTTAAGAGCAATGGGCTCACTTCTTCCAGTGAAGTCTATGGGAATTTTTTCTCTGTTCTGTGTAAAAACATTGCGTAGATATGCAGTCCTTGATAACTGGGTATTGATTTCTAAATGTAAATAAACTTTCTTGTGTGATTCAGAAAGCTTATGTGGATCGATTGCAGTACTAAAAAACCTGTTAATGGATGAGCACTATGTCTATGGAAACCCTATTCCTACTCGCGTTTCTAAGTATATCAATAAATTTGGAGGTTGTTGAATTCTGCCTAATGGACTACGGTTCA